AGTTGGAGAGGGTGGGGGAGAAATCGTCCTCCGAATCTCAACATGTCTCCACTAAAACCTGATCGGGCTTAGGTGAGCTAGGCTCATTGTCTGGTCTCGAATCAGAGCGTGGAGGAGGAGGAGGGACGATGGGAGGGATGAAGAGGGGAAGAGGGGCTTAAGAGGAGAGATGGGTTTCCCTTTGGGGGAAAGCAGTTGGTCGAGGGGGAAGTGGGAGGGGGAATAGCCGTCGAACTAGAAGGAATGGCGGGAGAATAGGGGGAGGTGATGACCGAAGGGGGAAGAAGAGGGGGGTCGGTCGAGGATGATGGAATGAGAGAGACGGGAATGGGAGAGGGTGAAGCCGAGGGGTGGTTGCCGATGGCGGGAGAAGAAGGAGAGGGATTGGAGATTTTGTTCTTGCCTTTGTTGAGTTTGGCAGGACTGAGGCTCTTATTTTTAATGTAACAGGCGGCCTCATCATGGCCTATGTGGTAGCAGTGGTGGCAACACTTAGGCATTTTCTCATATTCTACTTGGAGAGTGACTGGAGTTTCTCCAAATTAAACTATGATTTTGGGAGGTGGGGGGGTGGATTCAAGATTGATCCCAACACAAATGTGAGCGAAGTTAAGCCTATATTTCGAAAAGGTGAATGGGAAGGGCAAGGATTTTTACCTATACTGGAACAATAGCAGGTTCGACTCTAAAGTGGAAATCCAGGGTCCATTTGAAAAGTCTCATTGGACAAGCTTGGATGGTAATCTCCCGTTTTATCCATAATTTGGAGAACATTTCCGCATTATTAAAACGGATAAAGACGTGGCGGGCGTTTAGATAAGAAACTTGGCAAGGAAGCCCGATGTTAACAAGATATGAGCGAATAATGGCATTTTATGTGTCGGTGCTTATAAGTTGTTACAGTTGTTTCACGCAAAATGCATATGGGCCAATTATAATTATGGTACTCCATACTCGCTGGCTGATAGTGTACTTTTGGGCCTTGGGAGGCCCAATACTTCATATAATTCTTAACTTCTCATCTAATGCCTCGCCATCAATAATAAATCTCCAACGTGTTGAAAATTAAACAAAAATATCAAAGCATGTGAATTCATCGGAAAAAAATAAAAATTTAGTCAAAAAAATATAAGTGCGATGAAATTGAGTGCATAAAATAATCATATCCTCCGTAATCCGTTTAATATATCCATGATATACTAGTGTAATTTGGTACTCAAAGATCTTGCAATCATTCCCTATAGTCACTCCTAAGATCGACCTGGCTCTCTCATCAGCTGGTCGACCTACCAAGACTTAGCGTCAATCCAGTATAGCCCAATTATGGCTATATCAATTGCCATCGGATGTATACATATGACCAATATATGCTCACTTATTTACAATTTGAGTACCAAATTACACTAGTACAACATGGTTTAGGGTTTAGGTTTGGTTTGGTTTTGGTTAATTTTTTCTTGGCTCTTAGACAAACATGCTCTCATACAAACGAGCATATAAATTTCCACAAAAATAGTTGGTAGTTTATGCTAATTGGCTATTACTGGTAAAAAATTTCCAAAATACACTCCCATAATAAGTAAAAGTTGCGCACTATTGACTTGCGATAGGTCTTTCATAAGTGGGGTTTTTTTTTGGGTGACCTTTTTGTGCACTAGGCACACCGCAAAAGGTATATCTAGGCACATAAAACCCCTCGAGATGTTCAAAAACATCTATAAATACCTTATGAATGTCATTTCATAAGATCACTTTGCATTATATTCACAAAGTTCATACAACTTCTTGAGTTAATTTTGTTTGTTTTATTCTCGAGTTTTCGAAACAAGTGTAGTGTTTGTTCAAGGCCTATATATTTGAATTAGTGTTATACACAAGTAGAAGTTGTTGTATCTCATCAACAACTGTGAAAGTGTAAGTACTTTACAGAGTTATTTCATCTTAAGACTAACATAGATTTACGTGCCTCGACTTTATTTCTTTTGCTAATGATTTCTTAATTATTTTTATTGATATTGACAATATATAACATTTTCAACCTGAATTTAGTGATCTTTATCTGTAGCATTGGTGTGTTGATGACTAAAAAAACAATATGATTGCTTCAGTTCTTATACGATGGAACTTACAATATTAATATTTAGTGCACCACAAATTAAGTAATCGATAGAGAGCTATCGCCAATTCGTGCTCTACTGATGCATTTCTTATGATTTACAACAACTATGTATTCATTTTGCAGTATGAACATATTAGGTTGGACAATAATGATATCCTTTGGATTAAACGCAGCAGTAAGGTGAGTACACAGTCTAAAACGAATATTGTTCGCCTTTTTATTTTAAAAAATAGAGTTTGATTTTGTCGTGCATGTAATTTATTTGTTTCCAGTGTAAGAGTTTCAAATGAACTTGGGGCAGCACATCCAAGAACCGCAAAATTTTCCATGGTGGTTGTGGTGGTAACTGCAACCTTATTGAGCCTTGTCGTTGCTGTAATCATTCTCATATTCGAAAAACAGTATCCTTCAGTGTTTATTGAAAGTCCGAAGGTGAAGGAAATTGTTTATGAACTCACTCCATTGCTTGCCTTGTGTGTCGTAATCAACAATGTCCAACCTGCACTCTCAGGTAATCAATAACATGTGAAATATCGCTAGTAGACACATAAAAAAAAAAGATCACATTGTCTCTTTTGCAGGTGTGGCTATTGGGGCAGGATGGCAAGCCTTGGTTGCTTATGTCAATATTGGATGCTACTATATGTTTGGCATTCCACTAGGTTTACTTATGGGATATGTTCTAAACATGGGTGTAAAGGTATGTGTTGTTTCAATGTGGTTACTCTGACTCTAACAAATAACTGTGTTATGGCAAACGCTCAAAGAACACACCAACGAGCACTATGATAAATAGTTTTTTTAAACAAGTTTAGACTCCGCGCATGAATAAATACACCAATAAAAATTGGAATCTACTATTTTTTTTTATTGTACTATGATAAATAGTTTTTTTTTCTCCTGGATTTTTCAGGGAATATGGATCGGTATGATAACAGGAACAATTGTGCAGACATTTTGCCTATTTCTCATGGTTTACAGGACTAATTGGAACAAAGAGGTTTGCACATTGGAGAGATGCTTTAATTTTTTCAATAGGCATATATATATATATATATATATATATATATATATATGTGTGTGTGTGTGTGTGTGTGTGTAGATTTCACTAACTGGCTTGAAAATATAATACAGGCTTCAGCTGCTGCAGATAGAATCAAAAAATGGGGTGGAGAAATTCATACCAAGGCAGATAATCAACTCGTCAGATAATTGGAGTTCATTTGTGATATTTGAAAAACCTTGACATATTGCAAAGGTCACAATTGAGCAACAAAATAAATAAATATTGTCTGATTAAAATAACCTTGATATTTGTGATTTTTTTTTTTTTTTTTT